CCGAGAGTCCACTACTACAGAAAGCTCCCAGGAAGCTCAAGTGACTCCCAAACACCCATGCTCATTGGGCATCAGCAACAGGAGGGGTGAGGAGGGGCTGCCTCGGGCCGCTGGGTGGCCTGTGGCCAGTGTCCTCAGAAGGTGCCAGAGCACAGGCAAAGAGAACACTCAAGAAGGAGCAGACCCATGCCATCCACTGGGCACTGGGGAGGCTTCCCAGGGACGGGAAGGGCCAGCTGTTACTCAGAAAGCAACCCCACACTGCTCTAGCAGGACTGGGGGGCATGCTGTGTGGTCTGCATAGCGCGGGCTTGGCATTTCTCTTTCCCAGCCGGGATCTCCCATTTCTCTAGTGAGGCAGGCCAGTGCTGACAGCAGCCCCCCAGCTCAGAGCTTGGAGCAGAGCCACTCCCGCTGATGGGGATAGGGCAACTTGCGTGGGTGAACCCCTGGTTCCGAGGGAGCTCTCTCTAGAACATAGGCAAGGATACGTCTAGCATGTCGACCATGATTTTGCAGGTCTCGATGCTGAAGCCATCAGACTTGATATCTTGGCCTAGAAGACAGAACAAGTGTGAGATGAAAGCCTTCCAGAGCAGAAAGTGGGAAGAATGTTCTAGATGCACAGTCCTCCAGTCAACACCAGCCATGTGTGGCTGGAGAGGCCAGAAAACGTGGCGACCTTTTCCATGTAGTTCACTTTAATGATTTTAAACAGCCACAGGTAGCTAGCGCTTTCCGACCAGGGACAGCGCAGGGCATGCTGCGCTGCCTGGCTTCTCTGCCTGCCATGAACAGCGCTTCATTAGTGGCCAGTTGCCTTCACCTGGCCTGACAGCGTGGCGACCCCATGTGCATCGGGATAGAATGGTACCCGACGGGGATTTCAGGGGCCTACATTCCAGCGCACTGCTGGGTGGGCCTGAATTGCCAAGTTCTCATTGGCACCTGAACCTGTCAGCGGCTCGTACCACCCACGGGCTCCTTGTCTGCGCTGACAGGTGCCAGGTCAGCTGTGGGTGCCAGGCAGGGCGAGGAGACCAGAGGTTCCCAGTGGTTGTCACTGCTCTGAGGTGGGGGGGCTGAGCATGCTGCAGGCCCGTGTGGGCAGGCCGGTGCTCCATGGGGTGAGCCGGGCTCCTGGGGTGGCTGCGTCCCCCACACCAGTCACAAGGAGCCCACACTTCTGTAATGTTCTTGCAAAAGGTGGCCCATCGGGGTAACCGCCATGCTAGGGCATGCAGCCGGCTTTGGGACACAGGCGGGCCTCCCAGCGGCTGGCAGTCCTGAGCATCCCCCTGTCCTGAGCTGTGGCTGTCCTTGGAATTGAGGCCCAAAGCTGCATGCAGAGGCCAGTCCCCAGGCCACCGGGGGAGGGGAGCAGGGCTCTGAGGCCTGTGTGTCAGGAGGTCTCCCCCTCTCAGCCCCCTCCCATCTGTGCAGAAACAAAGAGACTTCAGTGTCCCGGGCTTGTGACTGCCACACGTCTGAAGAGCCCTGTGACCTCACTTGTGCCTGGTGGCCTCCGGTTAATGCCATCACATCCTCCCCCAACATCGTGCAGGGAGGGTGAGGACCAAGCCTCCTGGGGGTGTCCCTGGCCCTCTCTGCTGGGTGGGCTCCTGCTGAGAGCTCCGTACCTCACCCAGCTTGCATGCAGCCAGTGGTCGGTAGCCACTGGACAGGGAAGGAGGGCTTTTGTGGGCAGGGCCACCAGGTGCGATGGCATGGGAGACTGACTCGGGCCTTGGACCGGAGATACTTTACCTTGCGGGGTTGCGCTTGAGGCCGTCTCTTCCTTTGTCAGAGGGAGCAACATCCCTGGAAGTCTGAGCGACTTCTCTAGAGAGAGTCCACAGCGCTCACCTTCGGCATACAACAGCGTATGTTTGGGTTTTTGGTCCAGATTTTGAACTTCTGGTGGCATATAAAGCCCCCAGCACCTTGGAAGCCACTCAATATTTGTAATGATTTGAAGACGTGTGTGTGTGTGTGTGTGTGTGTGTGTGTGTGTGTTTTCAGCCACCACCCATCTGTCAGTTGGTTGGCCTTTGGGGGTGCCGTGCATATAGCTGTGATGCTGAAAGCTATGCCGCTGGTATTTCAGAAACCAGCAGGGTCACCCACGGTGGACAGGTTTCTAAGACAGACTAGGAAGAAAGGCCTGGTGAGCTAGCTCTGAAAACTAGCCAATGAAAGCCATATGGCTTGTAACAGAATCCTGTCCAATATAGTACTGGAAGATTAATCTGCTTGGGTTGGAAGACACTTAAAAAAACCCAAAAACTGAAGTAAACAAACAAACCAAAAAATAGTGGCAACAACAATGGGCTTGAGCATGCTAACAGGGATAAAGATGGCGAAGGAGCAGCAGCATTTTGTGACATGGGGTCACTATGAGTCAGAGCCCACCTAGTGGCAACTAACAACATGCACACATATTATACCACATATATGTAAGTATATATACACATTCACTATATATACTTATAAATATGCTTGTATATGTATATCCTTATATTGACATTTTACATATACAAAGGGACTTTCAGAGGTTTATAGGAGATTGTATTATCTTTCTATTTTGCTTTTCCAGGAAAGTTTTAGGCCCCCTTTATATGAACATATACATACTCTTCCCTCTGCCCACCAGTGGTGAGCAATGGGTGGAACAGTCAATCCCTGGGTGTTTTCTATGTAAACTGTGAACAGGTGTAAAGGTTTGTGAGCACCTTGGGTCAATGGATTACTTGACTGGATAGTGGGGTGAGTTGGGCTGCCTAACTCCAAAATCAGCAGTTCGAACCCATCAGCTACTCCACGGGAGAAAGATGAGGCTATCTGCGCTCATGAAGATGGACAGCCTCAGAAACCCAAAGGCGCAGCTCGACCTTGCCCTGTAGGGTTACTGTGAGTCAGAATCGACTTGACGGGAGTGAGCTTGGTTAGGTGTGACTCCCACACAATGATTGGATAGGGATGTGCCAGTAATGCTGTGACACACCAAAAGGGATTGGACAGCTTGATGCTAATGCAAATAAGGTGCACAGACCCCATGTGGGGGTGGGACCATGTAAATAAGGTGCATGGGACCCTAATGAGGGAATTGGTCAGTTTTGCCATCCTACTAGGCTTAAAAAGAGAGCCAGTCCAGAGCAGAGGCAGGACTTCACTGTGATTGAGAAAGGAGAGCCAGGAGTGAAGCATGTCATTTGGACCCAGTGCCCTCATACTGAGAACCTCCTATACCCAGGAGACAGGGCTGTAGCGTTCGAGAGGGCTCAGGGTGGGCAGAAGCAGTGGCAAGCACAGCAGAGAAACAGCAAAAGCAGAACCAGAAGAACAGCAGTTGGTATGGCAGGCTTCCTAGCCCTCCGAGTGAGGGCCACAGTGGGCATGCCAACCCACCTAGGGAGAGAGCTGAGCACCTTCAGGTTGAGGCTTCGGGTGGAGTAGGGTGCCTCTGGGCACTTGTTGTAGGAGCTAAAAAGCATTGGTACTTTGCCCAAGCAGGGCACGAAGACAAGAAGCCAAGGGCCAGAGAGCGGTCTGGCTGTGGGCAGAGCTGAGAAGAGGCTGTCCTGATTGAAGGGCTGTATCCTGAGCATTCCTGATCCTGAGCTGTAGCCTGTTAGTTTCTTAATAAACACAACTGTGAGGATGGCCTGCGAGTTCTGTGGGCCCCCTGCAATGAATTATTGAACCTGGCAGAGAAGTAGTGCCAACACGCCAGGTTTAGTCTAACTCCTTTCTCAGGCTTCTGTCCAGTTTTGGCTCTTTTGTCCACAAAACCCTGCAGCCTGGGTTAGATGGTCTCAACTCAAAGACATACTGTTGGGAGCTTAGGCTTTTATCCTTTCCCTTAGCTAAGCGCTGGGCTGCTAACTATAAGCTCAGTTCAAAACCACCAGCTCTGAGGGAGAAGGACAGGGCTTTCTACCCCTTAGAAAGAGTTACAGTTTTGGAAACCCCCAGAAGCAGTTTTCCCTTGTGCTTTCGGGTTGCTGTGAGTCAGCACTGACTTGTGTGGTCTGTTTAGTCTGAGAGTGAGCCTAAGAGGCTCTGTTTGTTTTTCCAGTCGGGCTTCATCCCTGGGCTGTGGCTGCTGTGCGAGCGATTCCCCACGAACTATATCCCCCGGGAGCCAGGGATGTCTCTGGGTGGCCTCAGTTTCTCTTACTCCTCAGTCATCCAATGGCCGCTGTTTCTCCAGCACAGGCTCTGTGCTCAGCCGTGCCCGCGTGCTCTCAGGGAAAACTTGCACCACGCTGAGAGCTAGGGTGGAGCACGGCTGTCTTTCAGATAAGGAAGTCAGGTCCCTTGGTGTCTAGGACACATGTAGCTGCCAGGACCTGGGTTTGCATTGTGGGCTCTATACTCTGGAGACCTTTTAGTGTTTTTGCAACCCCAGCATTCAGAAGCGACTTCCGTGTGACAGGTGTGTGAGGCATAATGGGTTCGGCCAGACCAGCCTCTGTGTGGACCGGGAAGGAGGGAGCAGGAGGAGGGACTTACGCTTGGCGAGGACTCTTCTCAGGATGGTCTGCAGCTCGAAGGCCGAAATCTCCGCATCCTGCGGACACACAATCAGCAGTTAGCACCCTGTGGCACCCGAGGCAGGCCGGCCGGCCGGAGGACCGTGGATCTGTGTTAGCAAGCCCCCAGGGATACTGGCATGCTGTCCTCAGACTCTGGCCCGATCACTAGTCTTTTTGGTGTTTGCTTTAGAGCACGAAAGTTTACTCCACTCCTGTCTGTGGTCTTACTCGGCCTAATTAGTCATCCTCTTATCCTGCAAGCCTTCTGCGACCTCCACAGCTCAGCTCTCGGGCTGCCTGAGAATCTGTGGAAACCAGCTGCCTCTAAGCACTGGCCCGGGCCCACCCCAGCTCATGGCGCGAGGCCTCTGCTCACACACCTGGAATTTTGAATCTGAAGAACAAACTTCATTGTTTAAGCCTGCCCGGTCATTTCGTACTATGTTTTTTTTTTTTTTTCCACCAAGGAGTCCTGGTGGTGCTGTGGGCTGTTAGGCTGTGGGCTGCAAGGTCAGCAGTTCAAATCCACGTGAAAGATGTCTGCTCCTGTAAAGACATAGAGCAGGGGTCCTCAAACTTTTTAACGGGGCCAGTTCACGGTCCCTCAGACCCGTTGGAGGGCTGGAGTATAGTTTAAAAAAAACTATGAACAAATTCCTATGCACACTGCACATCTTATTTTGAAGTGAAAAAACAAATGGGGCAAAAACAACCGGCGGGCCCGATAAATGTCCTCGGCAGGCCGCATGTGGCCCACAGGACATAGTCTGAGGACCCTTGATAGAGTCTCAAACCCTGTATATGAAACGTGCTACGTCGGAATCAACTTGATGGCAGTAGGTTTGGTTTACGTAATTCATATGAAGACTCATTAAAAATGAGTCTTCATAATGTATTTTCTCTTAAGGTGGTGGGCGTGTAGAGCACACAGGTGGCACCTGGATTAGCACTTGGAGGAGCCTTTGATTCAACAGAGGGAGACTGGAATGAGTTCAAGGGCGGATGCCACAGAGAGCTCAATTCTAGACTGCTCTATAACATGAGAAAGGTTTTGAGTTCTTGGGAGGAAGGCTGAGTTTACTTTCCAGCGCTTGCAGTCCACCTGGCCGAGAGGTTTTCTGTTTGCGTTACAAAGAATCTTTACTCTTAAGTGGTTGCCATGACGTTAGCAACAAGTAGCAGCTCTTACTTGCTATGATCCAGCCATTTCTATAAACTAAAAGCAGCCCAAACCAGAGTACAGGTATTCCCTTCGCTTTTCGAAAATTCCAGTTCCACCACTGGGCATTTTGGAAAGGCCCCCATCGGTGATGGGGCTTTTGTTCACGGCAAGAAATCCACAGGATTTTGGTGAATAGTAAAACTCGCTTTCGGTGTTTTGCAGCAGGCGCGCACCCCAAGCCGTGAGCGGCCTCACTGGGCTCCCCCAGCTCAGCTCAGCGTCAAGCCAGGGGCTTGGAACTGTGTCTGAACACCAGGCACCAGTGCTGTTTTCATTTGGGTGTTATTTGATACAACGTGGTGGGTTTGTTTTCTTGAAAACTCTAAAGAATTTCTCATATAAATGAACGCGAAATGCTCCTTTGCTCTGAGCCTTCTCAGCTCACAGAAGCTCCCACTGGAAATCTGTACTTTTGGATGGCGGGGGAACCCTGCGCTCATTGATATAACCCTTTTAAACAGAAAGGGTTATTCTAAAGCCGGCTGTTCACACAGGTTACAAAATAGCTACTCACTGCTTCTTTTATTGATAAAGACCCTGACCTTCAAAGAAAGGCTGAGGGAAATGAAATATCGAACCCATTTCTTTCTTCAAAGAAATTATTTTTCTTTTTTGGGGGTACTAGATAAGTAAGAAGGATAAGTTATACATCTTCAGCTCAAAAGCATAGGAAAAGCGTGTGTACCATTAAATTCACAAGAATACGAGGCAAAAAGATGAAAGCTTTGGATAAGCTCTAAGTCTATACAGAGTACTTGGTTTGCAGCTGTGCAGAAAGAGAAGGAAGCTACTCTGTCAGACACAAGTAATTTAATGCCTTTGTGCAGGAATGAGGCTCCAGCTCTGCTAAAGCTTCTCGCTGCGTGTCAGCAGCTAAAATGCCAATCCAGGGCACGGGCACCCCCTTCTTCCCTGCTCGATGATGCCACAGTTCTTGGGGATTTCTGGGTGGATGCTAGAAGGGTATCCAGGACACCATCCCTGTTCTGCCGGAAGTAGGTCTGGAGGAGTCATCTTTTCCCAGCCTTGTTCAGCACTTCTGTGCTGCAGCTGCCTTGGGATCCTAGAGCCGCAGCTTCTCTGACCTTGAACTCTTCTCCCTTTACAGGCATACTGTTCAGTTTCCGCCTGGGCTGCTGCTCTGGCCTGCTTCGGCCACCAGTTCTTTTGCGGCAGGCCTTGGACACCTTCTCCACACCTCGCTTCTCCACTTGCAGCAGCTGCTGGATGCCTTGCAACTGGCTGGCCATGCTGGTGGCGCCAGCCAGTGATTCAAAGGCCAAGGTAAACCACTGATAACCTCTTTCTAAAAAAAAGAATGCCCACTGGCATGGAGTGGTTTCCTACAGTGCCCCCTAGAGGACAGGTGGAACCGCTCCCTGGGGTTTCCTTGGAGTGACTGTCGCCTTTGAACTGCTGCCTTGTCAATTAGCGGCCCAATGCTTCCCCACTGCACCACCAGGGCTTATTTTTAAGAACAGAGGGCATGAGACTGGTTTTTAAGTTGTTTGTGTCTAGGTGATCTGAAGTCCTTCCTGAAGGCCCCGAAAAGCCTTCCCCTGGCTGGCCTCCATTTGTGGAAGACAAGGATCGGGGACTAGAGGAGACAGCCAGTCCCAAGGGGAGCACAGGGCTCCACAGAGGGAGGCCTGCAGACTCAGGAGCCCCCAGCAGTGGCTGCCTCACAGGGGCGGAGGCCATGGGGAAGAGCTGACATCTCAGGGACACCCGTGGCTCCTCTTGGCTTCGGGCCTTGAGGATAGGCCTCTTCCTTTGCGTCAGCCGGCGCGGGCAGTGGTGAGTGTCCCAGAGCACCTACCTCCCCTGCCAGCTGGGCAAACAGCCTCCGGAACCCATCGTCAATGTCGTCCTCGCTGGCGTCAATCTAGAAGGCGGGGAGCAGCACTCAGAGACGGAGGCTCGGAGCCGAGCCCGAGCGCACGCTGCCTGCTGCCCTGGCTCCCCTCCCCAGTTCCCCTTCTGCCCTCCTCCGAAGCTTCTCTTGGGCCTACATTCTTCATTATTGGGACTGAGCTATAAAGGACAGAACAATGAACGAGGAGGAATACCGGCAACATGGGAAGGAGGCGTTACGCTCGGTTTTCAGCAGTAGCTATCTTCTCTGTCACTCAACACAAATTGCCTTTAGTGCTCAACTCCACGAACACTCAGGGAGCCCTGGGGACGTCGTAGTTAGAGTTGGGCTGTGATCTACAGAGTTGGCTGTTTGAAACCACCAGCCACTGTGCAGGAGAGAGGCAGGGCTTTCTACTCCCATGAAGAGTTACAGCCTCGGAAACTCACGGGGGCGCTTCTACCCTGTCCTGTAGACTCGCCGGGAGTCGGCATTGACTCAATGGCTGTGAGTTTGAGTTCTGAGTTTGAAAGGGAGCTTGGAAGCATCAAGCCTCATCACTGGAACATGCTAGAACAATTCTGCCAGTGGCTAGTCAGCACAGCCATGAGACCCTCTGAAGTCGTTCTCTCTCTCACTCAGTCCACGTGGCCAACTGGCAACAGGGTTGTCTTGCCTGGCCAGCCCAGGGCAGAGTGGGAGCAGCACGCAGGCCCGGCCTTCACTGTGGTGCTTGTGGTCCTCAACCACCTCTGTAGTTGTCAAGGCCGGGCTAGTCTGCATTTCCCCAGGGCGCCCCTAACCCCTTCAGGATTTAGCATAGAATCGCCTCTTTTGGAACTGAGGAATCTGACAGACTTCGTCCTCCAGCTTCCATGTTAATAGAAAACGGGGGTCTCTCAGAGCGGGGGCAGTAACAAGAGCCTCATTATTAGTCCTGTGTGCAGTCAGATAACTGCCCAGCGGGAACAGACTGGCCCTGTCAGACTCCGGCCGCCTGGGCACGGGGCTGCACCGCTAGCTCCAAGCTGCATCCACCAAGTGCAGAGGGTGGAGGGTGGGTGTCCCATTAAGCCTTTGGAATTGATTTTGGCTCCTCTGATCTCTGTGTTGTCTGTGCCAGAGGGGGTGGAACCAAGGAGTGACAGGTACCTCTTCAAGGTTGGCCTCAATCTCATCGTCAACAACTCTAGAAACAGAAGGAAATGCTGTGTTAGTGGAAGCGGGGCCAGGGAGGAGAGGAAGCTGCAGATGTCACTGCTGACGTGCAGAGTTCAAGTCCAGCCTGGGTGGTGCTGGGGGGTTACTCTGTATCCTAACTTTCTATGGCCACATGTCTCTGAAGTAGCAGAAACTAGAGGAACCCTGGCGGGATGGTGGGTTGTGCATTGAACTGCTAACCACAAGGTCATCAGTTCAAAACCACCAGCCGCACTACATGAGAAAGATGGGGCTTTCTACTCCCGTAAGGACTTACAGTCTCAGAAACTCACAGGGGGAGTTCTCCCCTGTCCTCTACAGTCGCTCTGAGTTGGAATTGGCTGGCTAGCACTGGCTGTGGGATGCGCTGGAGCTGGTTTGGCTTGGTCCTCCTGAGTCTGGCGAGCAGGGAGCTGGGAGGGGGTCAGCTGCCCTAGGAGAGCAGTCTGGCTGGCAGGAGGGATGGTACTGGGACACTAGACAGTGGGGACAGTAAGCTGGACACAGCGCGTTTCCTCCAGAGGATCCGAGTCCCCTCCCTCTGGACCAGCTTTACGAAAGGCTGCTCTGGGGAGGGGGGAGTTGTAGGCAGCCCAAGTGGTGCTGCTTGGTCTGCAGCTATTCAGACTCTCTGGCACCTCCGTGCCCTCCAGGGAAACCACTTTCCTGGGGTGCTTGGTCTTGGACTGAGGACCGTCCTTGATTTTACAAACTCCATCATCCTCTTCCTTCTCTAGAAGCTAGCGGGGAGGGGGAGGGTGGGGGGTAACCTCAGCCTGTCCCCTCCCACGCGCTGTACCAGTTATCGGCTCTGAGCACGTAGCACCAGGCCAGAGGGGCCACGCTGTGGTGTAGCTGCCCCAGCGCCAGCCCGACTCACAGTGACCCCGTGCACATGGGAGGAAAGGCTACTTGGTCAGGCGCCACCCCCAGGAACAGTCATGGGTTGGACTGTTCTGTTCCACAGGGCTTTCGCTCGCTGAGTTTTGGGAGCTGACTGCCGGGCCTTTCTTCCTACTCTGACTTCATTTGGAAGCCCGGGAAACCTGTTCCGCAACATACAACCCACAACCAACCCTCCGCTGAAAGACTGTGTGCTGCCTGTGCATCTGGAGCCTTGGCCGGGAACCGAACATAGGGCTCCTTTGTGCAAGGCAGGGGTTGATCTGCCCGCCGAACCTGCGGTGCCCCCCTAGAAGGGACATACTTCCGTGGCCAGGTCCTTCTGCTCTGTCCCCGCTTGTCCCCCGGCCTCCAGTCAGTTCTAAAGGCCCCAGTCTTTCTTCTGGCGAATGTCCTCTGGTCACAGTTGCCCAGGGATGGATCTGCTAATCAAGGCTGGGACAGCGGCCATCATGGATGGAGGCCATCCAGTCAGGGAGCCAAGGCCATGCCAACAGAGGCAGGGAACTGGGACACCAGCTGGGAAGGGTTCCCAGGTGGCTGGGTCCCAGCAAAGGGGGGTGGAGCTGAGAGCCCCACTGACCATCTCAAAGGGCCATTCTGGAGGTCCTGGCCACTGGAGGGTCACTTACACCCTGCGTGGCTTTCGGCCGGCAGTGGCTCGACAAGCAAGGGCTATGCTGGCACTGCCCAGTGTCCTGCAAATGCCGGGGCTGCGTTCGCAGCTCGCCGCCTAATGGAAATACCAGCTTCGTACTTCAGACGCACTCCGTGAGGGCAGAGTCCCCAGTTCCCTTGGCAAGGGGGCATACCACCTTTTCCCAATGAAAATCAAAGTAGATTCGAGTGGCTTTTCCTGTTTTCCTGTAACACTAAAAACCCTTCGACACTGATCTCTGCTCACTCCTGCCCCAGGCCTT